AGGATAGAAAGGAAAGGGAAGGAAAGGAAAAGAAAAGGAAGAGAAGTGGTAAGAAAGGGAAGAGAGAAGAGTGAAGGGAAGAGAGTAATGAAGAAAACCAGCCCCTGGGAGGCAATGAGGAACCAGCCTATCTGGGATCAGCTAACCCCTTAGGTCGTGTCAATTCTTCCTTTGGGTTTTAACATGTCAATACCACAGATGTTTTCACTGACTGCTTTTCAAGGAATAAAAAGATGCATTTTGATTGAAATTAATTGCCTCCCATATGTAATAATTAAACTGAACCCTTACCAATACCAAGAATTCTTGATTTTGTTCTTTCAAACTTTGTAGCTTGTTCCCAAACAACTAATAAAAAAGCTAGATTTCCAATAAAATTTAGAACTTGAGTTGACTCTCACCCTCCTCTCATCACTTCAACAGGATCTGCACTGTTTATGGATGTAGGAGCTGAGTATCAAAAACCAAAGTGGGAAGGTGGTAAAATGAAACAGGTCTGGGCAAGTTACCCTCTCTAAAGCCCATTTCCTCTTCTATAAAATCAGGAGCATTTCTGTCCCCACAGGGTTACTGTGAGAAGGAACTGAGACAGTAAATGGGAAACATGCACAAGACACTCAACAAATAGTAATTACAGGAATGCAAAAATATATGCAGTCATGGATAACAATTACCCTTTTATTAAGAGTTAAATTTCTCATCAGATTCGTCTGCTCTACATCTGTCTTCTTAATTTGGATTAAAAGAATTTTGTCTAGATCCCCAAGTTGTGAGAGAAGATTAGACGGAACCACAGTTTGAACCCTGACCAAATGCAAGGGACAAAGAACAAACTAGAGATGCCTGAGCCCTCCTTATACTCTAACCCCCAGTCCCCATCCAAGCACCATCTTTGGACGTCTCAGTGGTGGAAACTGGTCAATGTAACAACACAGATTCCAACAGCAGCAGACACACTTCCTAGAAACTTTTTTAATGTTCTGTGGAGTCAGACTCTATGTCTGAGCCCTAAATCCATTCTTTTCCTTTCTCCCTTTTGCTGTCTCACCTTAACTGACTACCTTCATCCTGTGAGAACTGTCCTAAGAACCAAACATGCCCACTGCTGCCTCATTTCTGTTCCATCTCAAACCACATTCTGGTTCTCTTTATACTCAATCACTATAAGCCACTAGTCACACAGAACTCCCTTCTAGACAACTCCTGTATTTATTTGGAATGTCTCTTAAAAGCAATAATCATCCATTTTACCAATCTTCTTGCTCATTCAGGACCTCAAGGAAAAGTTCGATTTAAAAGGCCACCAGTATAAACTAAGATGATGTTGTCCTGATTTCTACATAATTAATCATAATTGTGATCATTTTCAACAGGAAGAATTCAGTTATGGGGACATCCTATTGCAGTGGACTGGGCAGAGCCAGAAGTAGAAGTTGATGAAGACACAATGTCTTCAGTGAAAATCCTATATGTCAGAAACCTTATGCTGTCTACCTCTGAAGAGATGATTGAAAAGGAATTCAACAATATTAAACCAGGTGGGACATACATATAAGATTACTTTTTCAAAATGTACTTTAAAAGCACTTACACTTAAGAAGACTTCCCATAACTTTAAATAAGGATAGCTTTTATTTATCTCATTCTCAAAATTGCATGCAGACTACTCAAACCACATTCCTATCTTTGGATTAGAAAATAGGAACATGTGGTCCTACAAGATTTATCAATATTATAATTTTATACTTATCTGTGTGATTATTTAATGAATACATATTTTCTTCACTAAACTGTAAATTCCATAAGTTCTTTTTTCCTCTTATTTTCTCCTTCATCCTGAGACATTCAGTCTCTGGGCCTGGGGTACAATAATTGCTCAATAAATACTTACCGTATTAGTGAATGCATGACCATAGCTATAGGTCTAAGGCAGGGTTTCTCAACCTCAGTTACTGTTGACGTTTTGGAACAAATAACTTTGGTTTCAAGGAGGTTCTGTTCAGTGGACTGTAGGATGTTTAGCAGCATCCCAGGCTACTACCCATCATTACCAGGACCTACCGCCAAGATGTAAGAACCAAAAATGTCTCCAGACATTGCCAGATGTACGCTGGGGAGAGGAAAAATGCCTCTAAGTGAGAACCAATGGAATATGCTTGTGACTTTAGGTACATAAGTAAGGAGGTAACAATTAATCCTAAGAAACTTATTTGGGTGAAGAGGAAGGGAAAGGAATAGAGGGAAGGGAGTGGGGATAATTATTTGCTACTCATCTTATCAATACTTTTCAGTATCAATTCTAAGCCATAACATTGACTCCCCACCTCTTTCTTCTCCACATAGGAGCCACACCACTGAGACAAGGAAAGCATTTTGAGAACAATGTCCAAATGAGTGTTTCCCCAAAGCAATTCACAACATTAATTCTACAAACTTTTAGTAGATGTCACTAGTGAAATGGCTCCATGATCAAATAAGTTTGTAAATACCAGATTCCACAAAAAAAACCAGATTTCTTTATTATGGGACTTACCGGAGTCCTTAACCTTCTAACATGCTTTGAAAGTCTCTAAGAAAAGATATAGGATGCCCAAATTCCCACTTTTGGAGCATGGATCTCCTATTTTGGCAGACCATCTGTGGGATTATTGTGCCTTGGAACACACTCTGGGCAATACTGGCCTAGATTTATCTCAGTAGCATCATCCTTTCATAACTGAGAATTTCTCACTCTCCAAGCAAATTCTCTAAGCTGTAGATAAGCATGGGCCATGGTGCTATCATATTAAACCCACCTGAGAATACTCATTTCACATACTCATATTGCCTGTTTCCAACTCTGGGTGCCATCTCAGGTATAACAGAATGACAGGCTGATGATTCGCTGTGAAGGTAATTAGTAAATATGTCATTTCTCCCTTTTTAAAGATCCATCAAAAATCTATCTTGCTGTAGCCTCAGGTACTCTTGCTTCCTTGACATTTTAGGATAATGTTGTGGCTCCATGCCAACAGCTGTGAATCCATGTCCACTATAGAAACTGCAAATGATGACTGCCTCACCATGTGCCAGGCATTGCAGTGGGCACTGTCACAGCATGTGCCATTTATTCATCAGAACAGCCCTATAATATAGGTTACTTTATTAGTTCCATTATTTTCTAGATTTAAAAAAAATTGGGACCCAGAGAGAAGTTAAGTATCTTGTTCAGGGTCACACAGCTAGCTGGTGGCAGATCCAAAATTTGACTCCACGTTTGGTTAAGGGCTTGTTCTTAACAACTTATGGCCCCCATGCCATCCTTAATCCATTCATTCACTCATTCATCCAACTATTGTTCCTTCAGTAGTTCCTATGTGCCAGGCACTGTAGCAGGAACGGAGTAAGATGTATGCATGGAAAGAGTTTAAGATGTTCCAGAAAAATAACAGCTAGGCTTACTCTTGGAGTGCAGAGAAGACTCATGTTTCTAATTGACATGAAAGCTGATATCTGAACGTTGATGCAGTTGTAGGTATAGGAACTAGTATGTGTGTGTATAAATATTGCTCACCATCCTCCCCCCATTCTGTGTTGACTTTCTACTTTCCCACAGTGAATAACACTTCCTATCTATCTAACTAAAACAGTGGCTTTGGGGAAAGAACTAGAATGAGAAACTACTAAGAGGCTGCTTCCTTTTGTAGTCACTGGTTATCAGCTTTCCCAGTCTGCATATTGGCATATTGAAGAGAGACATGTGCCTGGACTTATTAATTATAATGAAAATAATGAACACCAAATCTGTTTCTCTCTCTCTCCCTCTCTCCCTCCCTTTCTCTCTCCCCCTCTGCCTCTTCCTCTCTCTCTCTTACTCTTGAGCCTAAAGTGTGTCCAGCAATTCCAGGGCCCATCCTGGGGTTGCTGGAACAACTCTCAGGGCTCTATAGTGGTCTGTGGCTTGTTCTTTTCAGCACTCTGCAGAAGAATATGAATTGCAGAGTGTGAACAACTAGCAGATACATCTGCCACTTTGAGAGGTAAAAGCAGAGCTAACTAGTTTCTTTTCCAGCGGAAAGGATGTGTTATTTCAAGGCTATACTTATCTAAAAAATTTGTGGAGAGAAATAAGAAAATGACTCTTTAAAAATTCTGTTTAAAGTTTAGATCCCTCAGAGGATCCTGCATATTCCCTCCAAACATTTGACCATATATCATTTTAACCACGATTAACTTGAAAAGTATTATATTGCCACGCAGAGAAACAAATGAAAATCAGAACAAAAACTGGGGCCTGAAAATGTTTGTTCTTCCCCAATGTAGCCAGAGGGGTATCTGCTGAAGTTCCAGTTATAACCATTCTACAAAATCTGATTTTCCTACAACAATTTGGCAATATCAGAATCACCTGGTTAAAATAAGGAACACTTGCCCCATCTAGGGTGGGCTCAAATATTTGCATTTCTATTAAGCTCCCAGGTGAAGCTGATCCTGCTGGTCAAAGAACCATGACCCTGTGATAAGCTTTCCTTTGCCACGCAGGTGTGTTTCTCTTCAGGAAACCGATGTGTTGCTGACAAGTTGATAATAAACACAGTGATATTTTTCCAATTCCTTGTATCATGATTTCAGAAGATCTTTTTCTTCTTTACCACGTGGTGAATACTATTGTAGAGAAAACCAGCTTTTGTGACACGAACTCTAACTTTCTAAATTTTCTGTTCTATGAGGCTAAATTTTCATATATTAAGTTTTCCAAAAGCAGGTATGTTTGAGCATTATTATTCAAAAATGCAAGATGATTTCGAATATCTGAATTTCAGAACACCTAAATTTGTTATCATCTGAAATGCCACATAGCTAGTGTGGATGATAGAAGTTGGAGTGTGAATTGACTAAACAACATTCCCTCATTCCATGTGTTTATTGAGTAGCCCCTGTGTCCAAGGTGGTAGGCAGGAACTGAGTGAAGATGATATTAGTACCAAGATGCCTCTGAAGCAGATCCTGTCCTCAGGGAGCTAACAGACTAGGAGAGCCTAGGTGGAGAATGACACTGAAGTATGAACGGAACAAAGACTGGAAAGGTGGAGGTCATCATTGGCTGATCCGTTCCTTATCAATTACCCAGACACACCATGGGGCTGAGTCACGATAATCACTCCACCTGACACTGAAAGGAAGAGAGACCGTATTGGAAGTTCGGTTAATTACATGTCTCATGCTTCGTGGTCTCAGATACCTTCATTTATTTTCTCAGTCTGGCCAGACAATTTTGCTCTGTATAACGATTGTCATAAGAAGTCAAGGGTTGAATGCTGAAGGGAGTAAAAAGAGAAGTATCACAATGTTTTAAATTATCCTTACACTATGGGCTGGCGATTATTCCCCAGAAAAAGATATTCATAGTCATTGAACCCTAAAAAGATATTCATAGTCATTGAACCATGTGGTAGAGTAGAAACTCTAATTGCCTTGTGACCTTCAATCTAAGAAGATAACTAGACTTTGATAGGGAAAGAAAGGAGAAGACTTTCTCTTTCTTTCCTCCCTGGCCTCTTAAAATACACCCAAATGAGTGTAAGCTAAAAGAGAAAAATTAGCATGCTAAACAGATAGTGGTTAAACAGGTTTCCACTTTACCTTCCCTCTAAACAAAAGGTCTATTTCTAAAATTGAGCAAGCAACAATATTTTAAAAATATAACATTCAACTATTTTGATACAACTTTTTAAAAAATTTTTACATGTTGTGATCAACATGTTCAGTAATACTTCTACATAAAAATAAATGAGATTGGTTTGTTTGGTTTTATTACACAAATAATATAAACTTTGTAAATATTTATAAAATACCAAAGTATATCAGCAAAAATATGAATGTCCCCTTTATCCTCCCCAACTTGTCTCATTTCTGAAGTAACCCCTATTAACAGTGTGGTCTCTGTCTTTCCAGTTTGTTTTCTGTATGAATACATTTATATGTGTGTGCACATATATATAGGTTGGGATTTAAAAAAAAAAATGCTATAGTATTATACTTACTATTTTATAACTTTTTAAAATTAAAAATAGGACTTGACTCTTTCCATGTAAGTACATATAACTCTATTTTGTTCTCTTTAAAGATTCCTTGGTGTTGATATAAATGTACCAGATTTAGTTACTCCCATGAAAATGGACAATAAGTTGTTTTGGTTTCACTCTTTCAACAGGGCTATAACTAGTATTCTTATACACGATCCTTGTGCATATATGTTTCTGTATAACACATTCCTCAAAGTAGAATTAGTAGATATCTACCTTGTTTCTAATCTTTAGACCATAACATCATGGTAGGGAACTATCTTGGTTCTTAGATGTTCTTTCAGAAACAACTTTTTTTTTTTTTAATCAAAAGAGCGTTAGATAAGGATATAGGAGATCTGGTTCTAGTTCCTAGATATGTAGACTCATAAATCTCATCCACCTTGTCAGAACCATAGTTTCCTAATATTTAAGTTAAAAATAAGTAAATTAAAATTAATTAAAGAAAATTTAAAGTAAATCATTGCTAAAGTCCCTCCTAAAAACTCTAAATTCTATTGTATAAGACAAAAGAGATAAAGTATTTTTCTGGGGGGAAAAAAATCCATAAAACTTAAAAAAGTAATCACCGAAATATATGTTTATAAGATGACCAATAATTGAATCCTACTCAATTCAGCAACTATTTTGCCATGCATGAGGTACTATCCTTTATATTATATAAGATGCAATGTAAGATGCCTTACCTACTCTTGAAGATCTCACAATCTAGGAAGTGGAAAACATAAATCCATTACTAATTATAATAAATCAGAATATAAATGTTATTTAAAAATTACAAACAAAATCTATTGTTGAATATGTAGAATTGTATTTTATATTTTATTTTAATTTTAAAATTTTTTTTTAATTTTTAATTTTTTTATTTCAGCATATTACAGGGGTACAAATGTTTACGTTATGTATATTTCCTTTGCCCCACCCGAGTCAGAGCTTCAGGTGTGTCCATCCCCCAGACAGTGCATACCACACCCATTAGGTGTGAATATACCCATTCTCTCCTCCCTCTCCCATCTGCCCAACACCCGATGAATGTTACTACTATATGTGACTGTGTAGAATTTTAAACCTGGACATATGAAATATTCTTGATGAGATCCTTACTTAAATACTGGGTCTCAAAAAAAATCAAAACTCTTGCAAGCGAGGCACTAAAAGATATTGTTTTCAGTGCCATCTCAAGTTAGCTAATGGGGCTACTTTCACTCCATTTACAGGTGCTGTGGAGAGGGTGAAGAAAATTCGAGACTATGCTTTTGTGCACTTCAGTAACCGAGAAGATGCAGTTGAGGCTATGAAAGCTTTAAATGGGAAGGTAATGTAGGACAAAGAAAAAATATGTACAGTTTCCACCCACGTTTGGTGTGGACATTGTACTCAAAAGACCATTCCTGCAAGTCTATCTCACTCCAGCTTTCTACATCTCTGATGTGGCTGCCTCAGTCATTTAAGCTGCACAAAAGTGATGGGAAACACAGTGGAGAACGGAGATGTGTCTAATATGTCCAACTCTACCTCTAATTTTTTTCTAATTTGGACAAGTCACTGGCCTTCAATTTTCTTAGAAAGAGGGGTTTGGAGTAGATTATTTCAAGGTGTTTTTCCCAATTCCAATTTTCTCTTATTACTTCAAAGAGATTAACACCTTCATAGTATAGTATTTTAGAGGCCAATGATCAGAAAACATGTCAAAATAGCTGTTGTACTGCCCTCAGAGTTTGACCTATCAACTCTGGAAGGCTTAGAATCTCTCACCTTGCCAAGAGTAAGGTCTGGGGAAAAACTAGCTTCTATATCCTTACTATAAATTTGTGTATAGAAACAAATATAATATTTACCTATCAATTCAATAAACATTAAAAACCTGTAGGCCACTTATCACGCTAACCATGTCTGGGATACAAAAAAAATCAAACCAAAGATGAGTGGGCAACGAGCTAAAAGTCTGTTGGAGGAATAAGACAAGTACATAGACACCTGTGCAAAATATGGGCAGAAAAGTGTCATAAAAAAAGATAAAAATGGTGAGAAAGTTCACAAGAAGAAGTGGGTCATAAAGAATCAAAAATCTTCATGAATATGAAAAGATAATACGTAAGAGAAGCTATGGACATTGGGCATAATTTCAAAAGACAAAATATGGAAAGGATAGGCAGTGTTAGAGGCACAAAATTTGAGAAGAACAAGAAAAGATTGGAGAACAGTAAAATGTAGAGCAATTTGGGTGGTGCTTAATGCACGTACATTGGATCTTGCATCAGTCAGGGCCCCAAGAGAAAACACACGGCAAAGGAACCAATTACAAAAGTGTGAATGGGGAGTAGGGGAATCAAAAGAGAATGCAGGAGCCTGGAGTTTACAGCATTTCTGGAGTCAGAGGCACAAGGGGTTGGAGAATCAATACAAATCCTGAAAGCGTGGAGAATTGTGCAGAGCAGGTCTCTTTGACAGAAGTAGTGATCTTTGATCAAGGGACACAGTCAGCCCAAGGTGACCTCTCAAAGAGGGAGCCAAGAGAATAAATGTCCCAAACTCAATGTTAGCTCTTTCTCCAACCCTTACCAGTGTTCCCCATAGGCCAAATCCAGCATAATCCGGAAGGCCCAAGAACTCTAAAGAGGACCCCATGTAGAGTAGCCTCCCAGAGCAGAGAGCAGGCTGGAACCATTGGGGAGTGGATCTGGGGGGCAAAGGGAGGATCCCTCAACCCAGATCCATCAGACACAATAGGGCCTCCAGCACATGAGCTCTTCAGGGGCCCACTCAAATTCAAAAATGTTTGAGTATCAAGGAAAAGAAAGTACTAACTCTGAAATACAAAAAGAATACTGCAAAGCAAAAAGTAATGCATATTTAAACACACATCTATGAAACATTATTTCATCTTCATTGATCATTATATTTAGTATCTTATAAATATTATTACTTTGAAAATAATTTGTATGTTGGATTTGCTCTATTTGGAAACATTCCTGAGTATACATGATGACTGCCAATATAAATTAAATGCTAAATAATTACATTGGAATAATTACAATGGAAAAGTACTCAAATCAGTCCCAATTTTTACAGCTAGATATTTTATAGCAATGTTTACATTTACTATGTATTTAAATGTAC